CCTCACAGCAGGAAGGTCCAGACTTTGTCTCGCAGGCGCCCCAGCTTTTCAGAGAATAGAGTGGAGTTTGTATAGATCTCGTTCCTGACACTCAGATTTGGTTTGGCTCACTGTTCGGCTGAGTTCCTGCTGATGTATAATATAAATATTATTGTGTTAAATGCATGACGGGTTTCTTACGCCTGATCCATTCTTGGAGAGTCGTCCATCTAAACTAAACTGCATTGGTCCTTTGGATTTTCCTGTTGGCCGTTTGCAGTGCTACAGCTACACTTAGTATTTGGGAACTATTACTCAAATCACTGCATTAAACAACATAGTGAAAGAGAGGAGGAGGATGAAGGCACAAAGACAGGTGATGAAAACAGAATAAAAATGAGAAAGAGCCAAAACAATCGTCCAAAGAAAGCAGACATGAATAAAAGAGCAGGGCAAGGCCTTGCCATGAACGCTGATGAAATGGGGATGCTGTGCGCCTGCTAATGGTCGGCCCGCAGCACCGTCACCTCATGACACGTGCGCTCAGCTCCCTCTCCTCAGCTCACACTATTGTGTGAATCAATGAAGTCAATAACGCATTAATTGTCTGAGATAGCAGAGAATTGTGAATAGCTGCAGCTTGTACTCCACTGAGACAGATTTAACATCTTACCTACAGGATTAATGACCCAGAGAGCTGTAACTTTTACCCCTTCTCTGCGCCGCAGGGGGGGTCAATATTGTGCCAGAAACTCCAAGTCAACACCTTTGGATTGGCCAAAATATTATTGTATTTTATCCATTCTTCAAAATCACTTGTGAAATCTAACAAAGTGCGGAAGCCTGGGGTTTACAGTTTACAATATAATCAATAAACATTATTAAAAGAGCATCTGCAGCATTCTACAACAGTAACATTAGACAGACTGTTATGGTTAGTCTGTAGACAGATTGACTAATGCAAGAAAGTAAGCAATCTTTATTTATATAGCGCATTTTTATAAACCAAGGTCACCCCAAGCGCTTTACAATGTTCAGAGTTGAATGTAACTTGAGTCATTAGCGAGTTGGCAAAGTGCCAGGCAAGCTCAGCTGTGTGATCTGAGTCAGTCGCACTGTGGCAGGTGAAAATGACTCAACTTTCCCACAAACCCTTTCATCTGTTTGTGGCTACTGTACAGTAACATTTTATAGAAATCGAATAACATTCTTCTTTCCAAAATATTTATTATGTGCACTTTATTTTTTTGAAATGTTACAGGACAGCTCCTCTCTTCTCAGCCTCAGCTTCAGATTTGTTTCCACTCATTCATATCCCTCAAAAACATGTCAAAATGGAGAGCCAGGCATGATTTAAAATTGCCCATGCCACAAACCTGGAGGGCATCAAAAATAGAGCTGTTTGCGAGTTTATTTTGGCCTTCATTACGTCTATTACAAATGACTAGGAGCTCTCCACTCCGCCTGCCCGGGATACAGGTGGCCCACTCCGGAAAGCTGCCATCATTCTCTCCGCACCATCTATTCCATTTGTGTGTCCCTCACATAATCAGGCCATCAGAGTACCCATGTGTGAGTGCCTATCTCGCAGTCCGCCCCGGCTTCTCAAGCTGCCCCTCGCTCATGTGTTTGTCCATCACGCTTCTACATAAACACGCCACTCTCTGTGATGGGGGTGAAGCAGCAGGGGTGAATAACAGGTGGCAATTTTTCTATAAACTTTGGAATTCTCTAAGTCGGAACGGTGGTAAGAAAGCACTGGGTTCAATGCCTCTTCCAGGTTCTTTCTTTGTGGAGTTTGCATGTTCTCCCTGTGTCTGTAAGTTTTCCTCCAGGTGCTCCGGTGCAGTGCAGAACATGCATCTAATGTCATAGTCTTTTCACAGTATTATGGTTGTTTCACACTGTTTCACCAAGTTTTCGAGGGAGAAGAGAGTGTGACATGTGTGAATGAGGGGCAAGCGCTGACAAGAGAAGGGGACAAGCTTACTCTGCTGTCCAAACTTTATTTGCACAGTCTGACGGGCAAAGACTGTACACTTCCTCCAGATTTCTCCTGCGTTTGATTGTGTGTCTATGAGGAGTTTGCTTGGTCTAACCTGCTTTCAAACTGTGAATTTGTTGGATCGTACTAATTATTTTTTGTACAGACCTTTGAAATATAATAAATTACTTGCTGGTCCATAATACAATCCAACAAATACATTTTCCATTATTATTAGACAAACATACAAGAGAAACGGTGGTGGAAAGCTACAACTGTACACGGACCGAAGCAACACACAGACCACCACCATCCATTGTGTAGCCATAGCTGCCCTGGGCCACACTGACAGAAGCGAGGCAGCCAGTTTGTGCCATCAGCCCCAATGTGGCACCTGATATTCCCAAAGGTCTCCCGTCACGGCAGTAACCAGGTCCTGCCCTGATCAGCTTCAGAGGTCTGACAGGATCTGGCTTTTGCATGCAAATATGGCCACGAGATGTCAAGTGTTGTGATTTAGGACTATAGAATAAAACATTAAATAATCACATTTTTTCTTAAAACACCAGTTTATGGGTCTGACGCAGCAGCAGTAGTCAGTCCCTTTACTAACCACGCCTCTTCCTCTGTGGTCAGATGAGATTGGCATTCTCAAGCGCATGGCCACTTCATGAATTTCTATCATATTTTACACAAATTCAAACACAAATTTCTCTCGGCAGTTGTTTGATGCATTAATTTATTTTTCATTAAACTTGCAATGCACCTTGTCTGCAGCAGAATGCAAACACCACACAGAGGTAATGACAGAAATGGGTTCAGGAGCCCTTTGGCCGTGGGTCCTTCATAATGCACACAGTGATCAGACGTGTTTTGCCTGGGGAGAGGAAGAGAGCTCTAAGCGTGGCTCTCTGCGGTAATGAAAAACACAAAAACTACTACGTGTGTGAGTAAAAGCCTTGGAAATGAGATGATTAAAACATATAATATTGTCTACAGGAACCAAGCAATGATAATCGCTTGAAAATGCGCTCAGGGTTAAATCCTTCAGTTTTCCAATGAATTTATCTCTTCATACTGACAGATATCCACAAAAACATGTACATTTTTGCCCCATTTACTTTCCTAAGTAATAATAAGCAGTGGAACTCTTTACCTTTGAACATTAGTACCGCACAGTCACTGGAGCACTTTAAACCCACCTTTTCTCTTTTGGCTCAGTTTTTGTTTTTATGTGTCATGGTTGTTTTCATTTTAGTCCCTGTTTTATTTTGTATAATCTGTTCTCCAGTGTCCTTTTGAGTTTAACATCCTGTTCTGCTGATTGCCTGCCCCGCCCTAATGTCTTACACCCATAGGCCCAGTCCCAATACTCGCACTTCCACCCTCGCGCCCGTCATGTCTGCGTTCCCGATGATGGGTGCGAGTGCGTAGGGTGTCCCAATTCTCCAGGGAGGTATGTGGCCCCGCCCCCTTTGCGTCTCTGATCCACACTTTGCCATAGCCTGCATCTAAGCGGACTCTGGCGAAGGATATTGCCCATAATTCTTTGCGGTACAAACCAAAACGTCAGGAAAATGCATTTAAGTGTAAGTTTTGAAATATAAATGCTGTATGTGTGTAAATACATTTTTCTATGTTTCTTGGAAAGATACATAAATGACTATTTGAAGTATTACGGACATTCTATGCTAACAATTTAATAACTTTTTTAATGCAAGCCTTCATATAACATTCAACTTAAACTTTACACTTAGTACAATAAACTTAGGATGTATAAAAACTTACCAGATACCCACATTTAACTTAAAATTATACAGCTATCTCAAATTACGAATAACCAATATACATGTATTGTAACGTGTGTGGAGCAACTCATTTTGTTTCCCACAGCGTCGGACGAAATGAAAGTGTAGGTCTGAAAATGACCATCTCTTGACGAGTCGATGACATTACCTACACTCTTGCACTGTCCCAATTCTGCCTTTTTTGCACGCTTCTAACGTGCGCACTCAAACCCTTGCGTACACTTCAAACAAATGCACACTTCGTACACTGTAAACCCGGATAAGTTCAATACACTTAAATCGTTTGAGGAAACCGATTCCCTTCAAATGGTTTGAGTAACTGACCCAAAACTAAAAAATAATTGATTGAGTAGAGTAAACTCAAAAGTAAAACATTTCACAAATTAGTATATGGATTCATAGCCAGTTAATGTGTTTAAGTATTCAATATTTCAAAACTAATTTGTTTAAGTATAATTAACTTAACTTATTAAGGGAAGTACCAATATAAAACTCAATTGTTTAAATAGTGTCAATATTAGAAAACTCAAATGTTTGCTTAGTACTACTTTAAAGCTCATATATTTAATTAAAACTAACTTAAAATGTTAAGGCAAACACACTCAATACCTCGATATCAAAGGACATGCTAATGACCAGAAAAGGCAGTTTTTTTAAAAGCAATTTTATTCAAAATGGCTTTGTCCCAGAATTCGTTCAGGCACTTATGGTTCTCCAAGTGATGTGCGTAAGTCAGTCCAAACAGGAGACACTTTTCCCAAAGGAAGACTGCAGAATCCAGAAGGATGCCAACTTGCTCTGGACTTGGAATTTTCACCATTGATAATGAGTTCTATGGGGATGTGGGTCACCATCAGCAGCATTCTGCAAAGGGGAAACAAGAAGAAACAGTGAGTAACCCGTTTGTGGAGAAGTACTGGTCCTTCCAATTGTCAATCATTCTTGTCATTTGTGCTCGTCAAATAAGACCAGAGTTTTGTTAAAAAAATGGAGAGGGCGGTTCTTTCCTATAATCTTTCCCAGGAAGCACATTCACATGTGTGAAAACATCCTAATATGTGTTTTGGGTTGTATCTGCTTTTTTTATGTTTTAGAATTTGTAAAACACATCAACCAGTAAAAGAAAAAGTATAATTTGAACATTCAAACATTACTTACTTTGTGACTTGTGTTGAACTTAAAAGCATTGTCCCCGAGAAGAACAGGAAGCCCTCTGTATGGTCCGAACATCAGCTGATAGTTACATGCTCTGCAAATAGTTAAAACAGATGTTTACCACTTCTAATCATGAGAAGAGACATGTTGTACCAAGATTAAATTATGAGGCCAACTCACCTTTTGCTTTTGAATGTTTGCCTTCATATTCTGTCCTTCTGGTGAAGACCTCTTCAAAGCCAAGGTAGAAACCATCCAGAGAAGTAAATAATTCTCCAATGGACGTTTTTCCAGTAATTATGTTGAATTCCGAGTTGACCTTTAAACAAGCCCCAATTATTACTTTCAAAAATATAACACAAGATTTACAATAAACAAACAAACCTGGCATTCAGTCACCCCTGAACAATCCGGCTTGACCACTTCAGCTCTGAAAGAAAGGAAAGATCATTTTAAAATAATTTGTGTTACTTTGAGCAACTATAACCCAAACCCCACAACAGGTCTGTGTAACCTTATCTTTACAGTAAATAAATCTTTACAGCCATGACACTAACAGTGAAAGTGCGCGCACTGAACTAACCGCCCTCTTTAGTTCAAAGTAAAGACTTGATTCTCTGGTTTGCAGCAGTAGCACCAGAGTTAGCTTAGCTTAGCTTAGCTTAGCTTACATTTCAAACCTCCAGCGGCTCAGCAACATGAGCGACCAGCTCTGTGCTTTTCCCATGGACGCTGGAGCAGACTCTCCACGTGGCTCCTGCTGGTCCCCTCTCTGCTCCTGCTGGTCCCCTCTCTGCTCCTGCTGGTCCCCTCTCTGCTCCTGCTGGTCCCCTCTCTGCTCCTGCTGGTCCCCTCTCTGCTCCTGCTGGTCCCCTCTCTGCTCCTGCTGGTCCCCTCTCTGCTCCTGCTGGTCCCCTCTCTGCTCCTGCTGGTCCCCTCTCTGCTCCTGCTGGTCCCCTCTCTGCTCCTGCTGGTCCCCTCTCTGCTCCTGCTGGTCCCCTCTCTGCTCCTGCTGGTCCCCTCTCTGCTCCAGCGTCCGTGGGAAAAGAACGGGAGCAGATCGCTAACGTCGCTATGTCACTGGAGTCCGGTGTAACACGTGTGCAAGCTTCAGTGACAGAGACTGGCTCCGTGTACCGTATATAATAAAAAGTGCAAAAAAATAACCTTAAACAATAGACTCAAAACAATGTTCAGGAGATTACATTAGCTTGCGCAGCTGCATAATGTAAAATACATTGAAAAAAAAAAACTTAATACAAAGCGACAGGGCGACAGTAGCTCAGTTGGTAGAGCATTGGCCTTTGGGCCTGGAGGTCGTGAGTTCGATCCCCACCATGGGACCTGCTCCCACTGATGACTGCTGGCGTTGTGTCCTTGGGCAAGACACTTAACCCCACATTGCCTGAAGCCCCCTGCTGAAAGATCAAGGCTGTTTCACAATTGACGGAGCAGCCATCTTCCTGTGGACTCACCCCCTGCAGAAGATCAGCGAGGGACTGGTGCTATGAGCGTTGGGTGGCAGCTCTCATTGCCACCCCCCCGACCCAGAAATGGACAAAGGGGTTGAAAATGAAATGAAATGAAAAAAAAAAAAAAACAAAGATTTAACTCACCTTTGACTTGAGGAAGGGTGCGCTCCATTGACTACAGACTGGAAAAACACGTTCAAGTCCGAGGAAAACATGAATAAACTGCTTATTCTTGAAACATTCAAACAAACGACTCTGTCCAGACATGTCCCTGGTTCCAGTGCAGCCGGGACAAATATGGGAGGAGCTATGAAAACTTAAAGATAGTGAAAGTGCTTTCAACTTAAAGGTTGTAGTAGTGATCTCATTTACTTGTTTATTTGAGTGTTGACCTCAAAACTCATTCTCTTACACACATTTGTACTCAAACTATATTTTAGAATAAACTTAAAATGATTTAAGCGGCACGGTGGCTGAGTGGATAGCACTCTAGCCTCTCAGCAAGAAGGTCCTGGGTTCAAATCCCGGCCGGACCAGGGCCTTTCTGAGTGGAGTTTGCATGTTCTCCCCGTGTCTGCGTAGGTTTCCTCCGGGTACTCCGGTTTCCCCTACAACTAAAAATATGTACAATAGGTCATGCCCCCTCCCATGTCTGTGTGGAGTGAGAGGACAAGTGCCCAAAAAAATAACAATTGTAAACTGCTTTGTGACTCTGGTCTGTGAAAGGCGGTATATAAATAAAGCTTACTTACTTACTTACTTAAAATAGATTGGACCAAGTTAAATGTATTCATTCTAGTGCATCACATGCAACACTATATATGTTAAGTCCTTTCAACTTCAACCAAAGAGTTCTCTCTGCCACACTTGTATGATTTGAGTTTTACAGAGAAAATTATTTACCATCAGTGGTTAGAGCTGAAACCATTCGAGTGCAATTAACTTTCGGGTTAACAGTGTAGAGGAGTGTGGTGCATTGTGGGTATTGGGTTTGGGCCATAGACTGTTACACCCGTGTCTCCCAGTAAAATACCCTGTGCTCTTTCCCCGTTGTCTGACCGTTGTGTGTTTGTTCCGTGGCTCTTGTCTTTCTCCCCAGCTCCTGTGTTTTGCTTTCTGTTACGTTTTGTTTATTAAATTATCACATTTTGCAGTGTGTATTTTGAGTTCTTCTTTTTTTCCAGTATGTAACAGTATACATGTATTTTTGTGTATTTTTGTTGCTATTTTTCACTTACACTGTACACCCCTTTTGTTCAAATGCGCTTTACACATAAATATTGATTGATTGATAAATATATAGAGAACAAGGATAGTATCCCCTGGAACTGTTGCTATTGCCCTGTCCGGTTCAATCAGCAACAAGGGTTAAAGAAATGGTAAAGTTTTGTGATTTTGAGTTTCTTTTTCTATCACTCACATTGTATGTCTTTCACAATAGGATTTCATAAAGGGTAAATGCGAGAAAAGATGAGATATACCCGACATTGAGCTCCCTTTCAAATAAAATGTGTAAGTATTTTAAACAGTATTTTGACAGATGAGATTGACACCGTGGTTTATTGCGAGAGGAGATGACTGGAATGACAGATTGGTGCCAGTGCAAACTCGTACATATTTTTGACTTCAGAGACTTAAGGCTGTAGTCACTTTACCTTCGAGACTGTCTTTGTACTTTCTTTAATTGTGCAAATTGGCAATCAGGCTGAGTGTCGACATTACCACTGCTGATGTGTGTGAGGCTGGCGTTTTCACAGGTACGCTCGATGTTTTCTATCCGCTGCTTAAAGACATCGTGCCGTGGCTGTTTTTGCAGTCGTCAGTAAAATTCCACCTTCCACTACTTTTCAAAACTGCTCAATCGTAAGAAATGGTTGGTGATAGACTGGACATTGAACAGCCAAAGATTGCATGCATTTGGAGTGGACGTCACCGTAGAGTTCGCCGTAATACAGAATTACATGGTATTTCTTCTGCGGTGTTAGCTTTGCGTAGTGACCGGGGGCATGTGTGTTGCTAAGACGGTTGCTAAGGCCGTTCTTGCTTTGTGTTGCCTTGTGTAGAAAAGGCGTCCTACGAATAAAACATTGATTGAATTCTGTTTCTCCTGCAAATGAAGACAGCTGATTGATCAATTCTTGTGGCTCATATCTGGATTGACAAAGACAATATCCTACAATAAACTCCAGGGTCATAGAAAACAAAATGTAACTGAGCATACAAAAGTCACTGTAGAAGTCAGAGAGATCTGGAGCAAAGTTATGTCCATGAGGATGTCCCTGTTGGGCTTAAACGACCAAACATTTATTTTTAAGGACATTCATGGACATTTATTAACATTTATAGACATTGCCCCTTATGGACCGATGGCTCTATGTGTTTGTTATCATTGCATTTTCTGTGTTTAAACGGTTTTATTCTTTGATCTGTGTTTGCAAATCGACAACTTTGTAAAATCCTCCGAGATAACTACTGTTAATTGTTTAGGACTATAGAAAAACAATGATTTAATTGAATTGAGCATGCGTATTAGCATTGCCCTACAGTCTCAGAAAATTAGAATATTTTCAACAAGTCTAAAATCCATAATCATCAAAGCTTTAAAAAGGCCTTGGCATATGTAATAATAAATTCACAATGTTAAAATTTTCAGTTTCTTGCATAATAAAAATACAAGTAAGTTAGGATAATTTTTTCGTCTTGCAAAAACAGCAGCGCCGCCACAAACTCAACATTTAAAAGATGATTCTATCTCTTTATTGTGCTTTAAAGTAAAGGAAGTATATAAAGGGAGCAGATCACACTTTCTCTTGTATCTTTCTTTTTATACTAATGTCCAGTCTATAGCAGCCTCCTGCGGCACAGACTGAGGGTCAGAACAGGGAGAAGCACTCTCCAGAGAGCAGTGTTTATGTTTTAATGCACATGTTCTTTGGGCTGATGATGCATTACACAGATTTTCTGTGTTTACTGTAATAATGGGAATACGTCACTGCACAAAGAGCGATTACCCAGGGTGCATCACAGCAACATGCGCCTCCATTATTCTGTTTAGTTTAGAAGTAAAATAATTACTTTCTCACATGTATCTGGCACAACTGTGACATTTAAGATATTCACTGTTTGTGTGTCAGATCTATAACTCCACTGGGGGCTCACTTAAACTCTTTTAGGGCAATTTTTCCCGCTTTGATGCTGTTGATACTTGGTATTCATGGTACACAAGGCAATGTTCAATGTAATGTAGAACTAAGGCTTGCTAATACGCGTATGCTATGGAATAATTGAGTTAATGAAAAAAATGAAAATGCTTAAGCCAAAACAAATTTGGGTGTGCCTGAAACAGGCCTATGAGAACAACGGGCAATAACTCATACATTCTGCATCTAAATGCAATGTATATAATGGCGCTTGCGGATTAGCTAGCCTAGCAACAAATCTGGAGGCCTACCCACAGTTGTACACCTGGGAGGGACCAATAATTGTAATAATTTATAAGTAATAGAAAGAATATATAATAACTAATTGCGGTGGTATGGAATTTATCATAGTTTTTTTTCCATTATCAAAAAATCTAGACCACAATTTGTGTTTGCTATGTGGATGGGATTGTGTATATTCACGCACAGTAACTACAGTAACTGTAAATTTACTAGATTGTCGCTTTTGTAACATTTTTCCATCTCCAGACCCACAGTCACACACACAGACTTTCTTGCTATGAGGCACAAGTGCTAACCACTATGCCACTAATTTGCCTGCACACCTGATGGACTGCACTCCAGATCAACTTTCTGTAGACTCATGTTAAATTCAGTAAGACGATTATTTTGTTTAAACTGTCAGACATCATATTCTTACATACATTGTGCCTGAGGTGTGTGTGGTGTGTGTTGTGTGACTGTTTTCCCAGGTCAATGCAGATCCAGACTGTAATGACTGTAATGAGTGTATACTGGCTCGTTCATGTTGGCTCGCTCACAAGTAAACACATAAATCACTGCTGTCTCCATCATGACGGACCTGTCCACCTCAGAGATGATTGGAGCTTCTAAAACCGGACAATCCAAGGTCAGTGAACATAAAACTAAAGCCTCCAACTGGACCATACATGCTCCAATCCTCTCCTCAGAATATACAGCTGTGGCCTTCCCCTTGGTGACCTTCTGCTCTTCCTTGGAGCTGTGGAATCAGTGATGACATTACTCTAAATTAAATCATATTTTTGTTGAGCCCAACGTGTTAAGCGTCGTCTCACAAGACTCAACAAGATTACAAGAAATGTAGATAAAAACAAACAATGAAAACAGCCAGTTATTATTAACCTTTTCGCAAGAAATACAGTAATGGATAACGGAGTGTCCCGCCCGAATTATTGTCTAGGCTCACATACTTTCACATTCTCCCTTGCTTGTGTTACACCTTTCATGTGAGCCCCTGGACCTTATTTTGAGGCCAGAACACACCAATAATTACTTATATCCTGCCTGACAACACTTTTCATTTTTTCATCTCATTCATTCATTTTTCTGGCTCATACTGTTCACTCACACACAAACACACACGTTACCCACTAAGCTGCTGCACATTGGAGAACGACACATCTCACACTTGTTCACATTGCTCTGATGCAAAGAACACAATCCATGCTCGAGCTGTTGGCGCCACAGAAACCTGGTTTTCAAACAGGAAGAGAAACGGGAACTCAACTCGGATCCAGAGGTAGTTGGTGAAGTTAGTATGAGCACCACCAGCTGGACCGAGCGTTGTACTACAGCACAGTTGGTCTGGCACGCTTGAAGAATTAAACCATTCTGACCGCGGGCCGTCTTCACACCCCTGTGGCAGCGATCCGGGCCACTTGACCGAGATTGTGAAAACCCCGACCACCTGTATGTGGTCGGGGCCGTATTCACTCCAGAGGAAAGAAAAGAGAAGTCAAAGATAGAGGCACAGTGAAGGAGAGAGCCAGGCCCATGGACGGGCAGCTGGAGTCATGAACTATAGATCATTAAATACGATAAGATAAGAGATCCTTTACTCGTCCCACAGTGGGGAAATTTCAAGGTTGCAGCGCACATACAGGACACTAGTAATAACACACAGAAGTACAATATACTGTAAGTAGCTGCTATGTTTCTTAGCTAGCTGTAAATGCTTCAATATCAATAT